ATGTATCTCGTGAACGTTAACGACGTTACGAACCTGTTTCACACGCGATCACGTTCCTTACTCTTTACGGAGCCTGACACCGAGTGTCTCCGACTAACGCGCGTGAACTATTCGACGGTGTTTTCTCTCGAGTATTGTTCTCGTAGGAATAAGTCTGTTTCCATCGGAATTATCAATATTGACCGTCTCGGTTGTTTCCCCGATTTAAAACCCACCCCCTACAATTACCAGTGTTTCGCTTACAAGTGCGTTCTTCTGCTTTCTTCTGTACAGTATTAAGTTGGAGCTGGAGAAACTGGCCCAGGAGAAGACGGAGATGCAGCGCCACTACGTTATGGTGAGTTGAAGTCAATTTTAAAAAATTTTTAATCTTCGTCTGTATTTTTTAATTTTTAAACAGACAATCGCAAGTTTTTTTTTTAAAGTCTATTGTATTTTTCAACACCGACCACTTTAACGAATCTGCGTATTAAAGTACAAGGATGAGATTGAATTGAATTTGTGTGCCCAGGAGCTAGTGCGAGGTTAATGTAAGACACCGTGTTATTTATTCGAACCTTCGGAATAAATGAAAAGTGAGTTACTGATTTATGGCCGTCCGTGAGGTAATACAGATAATGAAAGTTTACGCAAATAATTCGTTAATCTGTCTATCATTTTCGTGTTGGGATATTAATTCGACGAGGGGGAAGAATCGTCTGGACCGAAGGATTTCTGAAATGATAGGTCGCAGATAGTAAATCTCGAAAATCCTACCAACAGTTCTTCGCTCTCCTGTGTGTATCGTTGAAGGATACCATTTTATGATGCCATTCGCTAATGCCCAGAGCAATAATACACCTTCTCTACCTGAACTTAACGAGCAACTTAGCCGCTTAATTCCCCTCGTTTTCTAGAAAATTACACAAGAGGTTTCATAAATAACCACTTCTTTTAAATCTGGTAGCCGCGCGCTCCTTCCTATTCAGTTAATCACACCAATCTTCAGAATGTTCAACCCTTTCGCTATGGTATTACCCGGTTGGAAACTCCTCGGCGTTTTTCTGGTCAACGGTGCGTCGTTACTCCACCGGTAATCTTGAAAAGTCGGAAAAGTCTAAAGAGATCAGTGGAAAAATTAACGATCGATAATTCACAAGTGGCAACTAAGGCTTTTTACCATCTCACTGTGGGTTTACTCTTTCAACATCTTTTCACTACCCTTTCACAGTTTGTACGTGCAATCGTACATGTTTCTTCATTACAGAAAAATATGCTGTGTAAAGTGTTCGTTATTTTATCTACGTGTAGGTATTATAAAATCAGGACACTCGTTAGGAAAATTATTGGAATCCTGAAATATTATTTATTTCAGAAATTAGTGGAAATGTGTGATTGAATCACAGGAAAACATTCAGTATCAATATTTTACTCACGTTATTCTTCATTACCTTAAATACACTCATTAGAAAAATTAATATTTTGAAATACAAGAAAGAATACAATCTGTACAAATAATAGATATCCCAAACACCCACAAACTTCAATACCCACATAAAAAAATAAATAAAGAAGCACATAACCGTAACCCCGCAAAGAACGCAAAAAGAAAAAGGAAGAAATAAATTCTCTCTCCACATTCAACAAGCGTTCAACAATGAGCAACCACGGTCCCTTTAGTACCGAAAGGGTTAAAACTACTACCGAGAATGATCCATAAATCTTGACCATGTTCGGACCAAGCGAGAGAGAGAGAGAGAGAGAGAGAGGTAGCAAAAAGAAGAAAAGCAGTCGATCTATGCGGTCGTGTTCTAATAAAACCGGCAGGCACGACCTCAGAGGGCCATCAGCCATTCAGCCGACCCGCTGAGCGGCTTCTTCCCGCGTATTTCTTCGCGGTCTCCTCCTCGCCGCCGTCTCCTTTTCAGTTCGCCGTCGCCTGAACACACGCAGGTGTGTATATACGGCCGGCAGCCATGCCGCCGCGGCTTACTTTCGCCCGTAGATCTTCATTATTGCGCGGGCAACGTCACCGGTGTGTATGCGTCTTCATTAGCGGCGGATACACCGCCGCGGCTCTGCGACTCCTATGGAGAAGGTCGCAGGTCGCGGAGGGACGCCTTTGAATTTACGCGCCGCCACCGCCACAGTCGCGCGATCAAATGATTCGCCGGGTCGCGACCATCGATACGTCTCTCCTCTCTCTCTGTGTCCCGTGGGCGGTAGTCGGTTGTACATAAGTACTTTCTCGGAAGTATTTTTCAACTGATTGGAAGAACGTACGAAGGTTTTATGGTAATCAATTTCGACGAGTGAATTTTAGGTAGTAAAACAGTAACGGATTGTTATTACCAGGATAATAAATTTCCTTTATATGTTTCTTCGTTTTATTTCTCAACCAATCTCGACGTCTCTCATGATTCCGTGTCGCTCTTTTATAGAGTGGTATTTTGATGGAATATCTCTTTCGATGTCATCCGAGGTTTTCATTGCCGCGTTTTTAAACGCCCGTCTTACCTTGCGCGCTTTTTTGTGAAATTTAACTTAATACGTCGTTCGATCGTTCTTACGATCGATTTTTAATCGAAGTTTTCCGTGATATCGGAACTGGTTTAAAAATGTATACTTGTAATTTAATGGTTCGTGGCGAAAGAAGGTTAACAGGAGCGTTTTAATCC